TGCCATTCATGAGGGAGTCATATTTTCTTTGGTCTCTAATAGGAATGTCAAACTCAATTACGAGGTCTTCAAATGTTTTGGGGTTACCAAAACCATTATGTAATTGAAAAATGGAATGAATACCCCTTTCATACCAAACTGGATAGAAAAAATGTGTTTTATATTGCAATCTTACATTTCTATTCCACCAAATAAAATCTTGTAAATGAAACTGACATAAACCTAGTTCTCTTTTCATCTCTTGCCTATATAAATACCATGTCTTAATAGACGCTGTTAACTGGCAATTTTTAAGTTTTGCCAAAACCGAATCAGGGGCATCTGCCTTAAAAAAGGCAAGATGGTCATCACAAAAGGTAGAAAGAATATATATTTCTATTGTTTTCCAACAACTTTCATATTTATCGTCTAAGAGTTTAGCCATCCACAAAACTTTCTGCGCTTGTGCAAAAAACTAAAGGATTAATCATCCTTAGACCCCCTTCTTCATAATCATTGCATAATATATCTCTCTTAACTCTGTCATTGCCATTGCTCCAAATGAATTTAAAAAGCAAACCATTTAATCTTTTAAAGAAAGAGTTTGGCAGGTCAATGCATAATACTGAAAACAAAAATAACATTTGGGGGAGTAAAAGCGACTTTACAACAGCAATTTTGCCCAACAAGGATAGGCTTCTATGCCTCCAACAATTTAAAATCTGTTCTATAATGACAAGTCTGGGAACAAAATTCAGTTCGTAAAGCATTTTTGTGTTCAATGAGAAAACCACTCCTAAAGCCTTAAACGTTTTTGATTTCCAATTCAACCCTAATGCATCTTGCGGAATAACTGTACTGCCTTTCAGCTTTCCTATATGAATTGCATCTGACTTACTTAAATTAATGCGACAACCTGAAAATTTTGCAAACTGAGTCAACGTTTCAAATAAATGTTTAAAGGAAACTGTTTCCCCATTCAAAAAACAAGTTGTGTCATCTGCAAAAAGACTTATCTTCTGTTCAAAATTGCCAACTGAAATTCCCTTTATCCCTGGATTGTGTCGTACTGAAATAGCCAGAATTTCAATAGCTAGTATAAATAAAAGAGGGGATATTGGGCACCCCTGGAATATTCCTCTTTTAATTGCAACCGGATTGGACATAAAACCATTGTTTAACACACAGCTAGTTCTGTCATTGTAAAAAGACCTTATCCATCTTATAAAATTGTCTCCAAAATTAAAATAGTCCAAGACTGAAAATAAATAATCATGTTCTATTCTATCAAACGCTTTCTCAAAATCTAACAAAATAATTGTAGCTGGCTCATTCATATAGTCTGTGTATTCAATTAAATCAATTATAACCCGAATATTGGCCCCAATGTTGCGTCCCTTCATAAACCCTTGTTGATCTGTATGTATCAAAGAATTTATACAAGACTTCAAACGGGAGCTCATAACTTTGTCTAATAATTTATAGTCAACATTCAGTAGAGAGATAGGGCGATAATTCTTCACTAACAATGGATCCTTACCCTTTTTTGGAAGAAGCGTGATTATTCCACTTCTTTGAGATTGTGATAAAATTCCTTCTTGAAAGGAATAATTATAAGAGTGGAGTAATAAATCTATGATATCATTGAAAAAGGTTAAATAAAATTCACAAGGAAGGCCATCTAGTCCTGGACTCTTATTTGTTCCCATATTCTTTAATGTAGTCCAAAGTTCATTTTTGGTTAAAGGTCTGTTTAGAGCAGAAATTGAATCATCTGATAAGGTAGGTATATTCAAAGGGGCGATAAAATCCTTGATAGTGTCCCTATCCTCAAGAGATACCTCTGAAGAGTATAGAGCTTTATAAAAAGAATGAATTTCCTGAAGTACTCTTTTAGGATCAGTGATGATTTGCTCATTGTTCGCCTTCAGTTGGCGTATAGTTTTTCTTTCATAGGACCGTTTTTCTAAATTGCAGAAGTATTTAGAGCTTTTTTCTCCGTGTTCAGCCCACTTTAATCTAGACCTTACTATAGAGCCAGCAGTTTCAGTATCCAGAAGTTCATTCAACTGTGCTTCTTCAACTTCTAATTTGCTATATAATCCTAGCAGTTCTTCATTTGAACTATTATCCTTTTTCAATGAACCAATTTTTTCTTTAAGTAAGGATATACTCTTTAGTAAATTATTCTTAGTCAAATTCTTTTCTTTTTTCTTTCTACTGCAATACTCCATACAATGACCAGCCATTGTGCATTTGAATGCATCCCAAATAATATGTGGATTTAGATCACATTCAGCATGAAATTCCTTAAATTCATTAATTTTGTCTTTAATGAAATTGCAAAATTCTGAATGTTTCAAATGTGCAGTGTTCAGTTTCCAATATCCCTTGCCCCGAGGTGAATCATTTAGTGACAGTGCTAGTGTTACCATACAATGATCAGAACAAATACCAGTCACAATTTTAGATTTCTTTACGCAATCCAACAAATCACTAGAAATAAAAATATAGTCTAACCTGGAGGAAACAAATGGAATTTTCTGATGGCGTGTAAAAATCTTATCATGAGTATGATCTCTTCTCCATACATCTACAAGACTTAATTCTTCTACATACATATTAAAAGCAATTTGGCACGAGCATTAGAGTGGGTTGCATTAGAACCCTCATAATCTAAAGGGCCTACCGCAATATTCAAATCTCCTGCTAAAATAACATGAGAGTTACCTATTTCATCTAACTTAGCAAAAACATTAACAAAAAAATCTGGTGAGTCTTTGTTAGGGCCATATAAGTTGACAAGAATAAAGTGTACATCATTAACATTAACATGGAGGATAATATATCTTCCCTCAGGATCCAGGTGAAAAGATAAGACTGATATTTTCAAAGAAGCTTTAAACAAGATAGCCACACCTCGGCTATTGGAACCATAGCTGCCAAAAACTGCCTCCCCTCCCCACTGAGTACGCCACAGCTTCTCATCATCTATCCTAGAGTGGGTTTCCTGAAGAAAGATTATATCATTCCCAAATTCTCTTAAAAAATTAAAAACTTTCTTTCTTTTAAAATTGTCATGCAGTCCTCTGCAATTAAAAGTATTAATCTGTAACATCATATAACAGTAAAAACCTAGAGTAGCAACAGTGAGTTGACAAAACAAGTAATATCCTAAAAATTTACACAATTTGATTCATGATAAAGAACCCCTGGGAAAAGGGCACACACCACACACTCAGTGAAAAAAGCATACGCACAAACACCCACCAAAAACAAAACAAACTGTAAAGGCAGCCAACAGTATGTGGCAAGAATGAGAAAACCTTAGAGCCTCATAATTAATCATAATGAACCAGTATCAACAAGGATAAGAACAATAAAAACTATTATCCCCAATGGTGAATCGTGGGTAACCAAAAACAAGGCACCTCCAGGGCACCCCGAGAATTCCTAAAAAAGTTTAAGTAAACAAAATATGTTTAAAAAGACCGACATCACTAAACTAATCTGGTGTCCAGCAAGTTAAAACGCGTTAAGTTCAAGGCATGTCATCTTGTAAAATATAAAAGTTTTCTGTGAAAGTCAGACGGTTTGTACGAGACAGCCACTATGATAATCACAGTGTTGTTATGATGTACTACAGATGCAATTCAAACACCTGGCTTGTGAACCTTCAGCTGGTGATCTTGGACATACTTAATTGTCGCAGGGTATACAAAGAATGCTCGCTTTCCTTGTTGCTGCAACATCTTTAACTCAGGCAGGAGAGCTTTACGGCGAGCCTGAACGCGATGACTGAAATCCTCTGCAACATACAACTTTGATCTCTCTTTGAACTTGAACCCCTCCTTGAACGCAGCAACACATGCCTTCCGGACCCTCACTCGATCTTGAAACGAACTGAAGCAAACATGAATTGGACGATCCTTCGGCTTGTACTGTCTGCCATTCTGGGGATGTCCACGAGATGATAGTGGACCTGGCGGCGTGCGGTGAGCCCTCTCGATCTGAACATGCTCAAGATTCTTGTCAATAGAGGCCAAAAAAGATGAAATCAACTCACTGCATCCACTGGCAGAATCAGGCTCCTCACCTTCAGGGAAGTTGAAAAAGATTAGATTGTTTCTTCGAGATCTATTCTCAAGGTCGTCAATCTTATCAAAAGCTGCAGCCAATTCCTTTTCCAGATGTTGGAACTTTTCTTCACAAGCAGCTTCATGAAAATCCAGTCTCTTATGCAGGTCATCAAACTTTGAATCCAAACGCCTCTCATATTCTATGAACCAAACAGGGGCCGCAGCGGCCGCGTCACTCACTCGGGAGCTGCTGGGGCCGGCTGGCGAAGACATGGCGTTGGATCGCTGACAATCAACGGGCAACTTTCTTTGTTTTTTCTCGATCGAATCACCGTTTTTGGACGGGGAGTTTAATCTCTTGTCCGGCATTAGGAAACAGTAGTAGTAGCTAGCATTATAGCAGCAACAGCAGGAGTGGGTAGATCGAGGAACGCATTGCCGTATAGACCTTATGCATTGACGTCACGGCTCGCCAAAAGACCGATTACGCCGCCATCTTAGAGCTCTCCTACAAAATCAATTTCTATTTCTTATTTGTATTTTCCTTTTTTATCGATTTCTATAATTTCTATTTCTATTACCAATTTCTGTTTATATTTCTATTTTTATTCTAATGGAAGACCGTTTTGGTATCTCGCTATGTGATTTGAAATGTGGCGTATAAAGGTGTTCACGGGGTGAACATCCACTAAAAATAATTTCAACTTCATTATTTTGTCTGCTGCGGTCTCGTTCTCAGAAAAAACATTAGCGATATTCTTCATGCGCGCGATATCGTGCATGCATATCAATGCATATGGTGCACGTCGCGCACGCGCGTTGTACTTACGTACTGGCGTAACAAATCTCAGAATAATTGGTGTCCAGACATCGCACAAGGTTATCACCTGCCAGTAAAAAGCATCGTTATTTCTACCATTTAATGCCTAAATAAGTTGCAAAATGTCTGTTAAAATATTCTACGACGTACTGTCGCACCCTGCGAGGTCGGTGTTGATGTTTGTGAGAGCAAACAAGATCCCATACACTCCATGTCCAATAGCCATACGAAAAAGTAAGTGCACGTTTTTTGCTTTTGTAACTATTCTAACAAAGTATGGTCGAAGTTAGACTTCTGGATATTTCGTGAGACGGGGGAAAGGATCAAACTTACAAATCAAAATAAATTGTTTGGATTTTGCGGTAGCAATAATAATGCACTCAACTGTGTTCTGATGGTTGTAAGACAAGAGATATTTTCAGCTAAATTACGAAATCAACTACCATCATTTGATATAATTTTATCAGCTGTAAAACGTTATTATGAAATGGAAAAATATATATACCAAACAAATCTCAGAGAGAATAAATTGAAAAAGAAATTGTTTCACTTTAGAAAATATTTTGAGAGTGTTTGAAATGTGCTAACATAAACATGATCATGTATTTTATGTTTGGTATTTTTTTATTATATATTTAAAGTACTAATTTTGTCATAAAAGTTATTATGGTTATTATCTGTGTCAAGCCATTATGTATGGAAATTATTTCTTTAATTATTAGTATATGATATATGGATATGCTGTATATGATGGAATTTGTTTTGAAAATAAAGAACCCTGTGGAAGGGGGGGGGAAGAAGTGCACGTACTAATTCTATCTATTTCTCTGCCAGAGTTCGGGGGGGGGGGGTGTATCGAGGGGTTCTGCTGAATGTCGATTGAAAGACATGGGCCTGCCCTCGGGCCCATCGGGCCATGGCACACATAGCTGTATTACTATCCTGGCCAGTGGCGTACGCAGGATTTTTTCAAGAGGGGGAGGGGGGGGGGGTTAAAATCGGGCCCAAAATTTCGCAACGACTCAGCTTTATTATTTTGCTCCCGAAAATTTTTATATTCAATTTTTCTCGAAAGCAGAAGTGTTTTAGGGTCTAAATTTTCTAGTTTTTATACGACATCCACAGGGACATCCAAATATATCAAAATTGTAAAGAATCACTATACACTCAATTTTCAAAATTGTCCAAAACTTTGTATTATTATTTACCTTTAATGTTAAGTGGAAAACACTCCATTCCTCGGATAGGACGTTAAATGGAGGCCCCGTGTAGAGAAGAGTCACTACCTTTGCACGTTAAGAACCTACTGCACTATTTGTATAAGAGTAGGGGGAAGCCCCGGTGTAGTGGTCCACCTGTAATACTCTGTAATACTCTGTAAAGAGGTCTGTATTCAAAAAGGAAAGAATTTCCATCTCTTTATTCTGTTATCTTTTGTTCATTGCCATGCCCTGCTTTGTAACCTTTGATCTTTTAGGTGAGCACCAATCCAAGGAGTATGCAGCCGTCAGTCCAATGATGAAGATTCCGGCTATGCAAGACGGAGAGTTCAAACTCACAGAGAGGTATGGATCAACAACACTGCCAGGTGCCGGAGACACATGTGCACCCAAAATTTTAGTCGCCCAAATTTGATGGGGGCCCACACATACAGTCCTTAAAAATTTCAATGTGGACACCCTCACAAAACAGGACACATGGGAACCTCATATCTCATATTTAAAACATTCATAACTTTCTCATTATCGATCTGCTTCATTTTAAACTTTTGCCATTCTGTAAATCTCGTTATTACTAGGGTTAGATTGCTCTTTAAAGCAGCTCTTTAAAATGAAATTCACACAAGGGCCTAAGCCATTGTTTTACATGTTTCAGCATTGTTTGTGTTAGGTAAGAATTCATATGAGTACTACAAAATGAAATACTATGACATGTTTGTTTTTTCTTGATAGTCCAATAGCCAATCTTTGATTATTTATGGTTTAGATAATGTGATTGGATTATTCAGATGGTTTTTATTTTGATCATGGTGCAGAAAAAAAAACCTGTCTGAAATTACTACTGTGTAAGGTACTGAGGCTGCTTGGGATAAACCGAAATCATGTTAGACTAAAAATTGTGATCAATTTTCTGCAGTTTTGTGCAGTTTTTGTAGATTATTTTTAATGAATTGATCAGCACTCCAAAGATTTTATTTGATGCCAAAATCTCTGATTGATGCAATTCGAAATAAATTTTTCCTGCTCTGAATATTACAGGTTCACAGAATGGAAAAAATTGTTATAAACGGAATTCAGAACCATTTTGTGCGTTATCTGAACAATGCAGTATTGCAATAGTGAAAAAATTTGTTATCGATGTAATTTCCAACAATTCATTCATTCTTTGATCAATGCATTAGCGCAAAAGTGAACAATTCTTTTATTTCTGTGAACAATGGACTATCACAGTTAAACAAATGTGATGGTTGCGACTTCCGAACATTTGTTTTAATTCTCTGAACCATGCAGTATCACAATAGTGAAATACGAGCAGGCCAAGCATGCATGCCCTGATCATTGGTACCCATCTCCAGGGGCGTCGCTAGACCTTCTTCAGTTGGAGGGGGGGGGGATGTAGAGGCCAACGATTATCGACAAAACTAGACACCAATTACCGACACAATTAAATGTCCCAATATCTACAAATTTAACCCTATAAACCCGGGGCCGAAGGCTAAATTGTTTTTCCTATGGACTATCTATAGTACTTGCATATGCGCAAAATGGTCATTTTCCTCGACGACATAAATATACGAATTATCTCGTCAACTTAGTCAGCATCATAGCTATATATTTTGATGCAGGCGCGGAGCTAGGATCTTATTTTAGGGAGGGGTAGTAGGGAGCAAGCGAATCATTTAAAGAACGCGAAGCGCGCTGATTAGGGGGGTGTTCCTTAAATTATTAGGAAAAGAAGACAATTTATTGCACCGTTCTCGACTCTCAATCCTTGTCTGAATGAAGTTTCCCCCTTCCGTTTCCCCCTTCTTTGACGTTTCATTAAATTATTATAAAAAGAAGACGATTTGCTGTACCGTTCTCAACTATTAATCCTTGTCTGACTTCAGTTTCTCTACCTCGCGCGGAAGCTTTGACGTTTCATTGAATTATGAGAAAAAGCAGACGATTCGGTGTACTGTTCTCGATTGTTAATCCTTATCTGCATTCCCATCTCCCCCTCCCGCGCGGAAGTTTTGGCGTTTCATTAAATTATTAGAGAAAGTAGACGATTCGTTGAACCGTGCTCGACTCTTAATCTTTGTCTGAATGAAGTTTCCCCCTCCCGCGTGAAGCGCGGAAGCTTTGACGTTTCATGAAATTATGAGAAAAAGCAGACGATTCGGTGTACTGTTCTCGTCTGTTAATCCTTATTAGTGGGGGCCGTTAGAGATATTTTGGTGCAGGGTATTTTGGTCCAAGGTCTTTTGGAAAGAGGTTAGTCCTAGTTCTGTACAGATAAGCGCACATTTTCCAAGGATTGTTCGAAGAACCCTATAGACAAGTGCTTTAGAGACAATTGCTTTGTGTTCAAACTTCCATCAGTTAATAAACACCTTGATATGAAAGTGTGGGGTCACCCATAATACTCTTGACCACAAAGTTGAAATGCAATATATCATGCATATTCCATTCATCTTTCTGCTTATCTTCACATATTCCCGACTCGCAAAGTGCAACCATCACAAAGTATCTTCATGAAAAGTTTGACTGTGCGGATCACTGGTTTCCCAAGAGCCTTCAGCAGAGGTCAAGGATCAATGAATATTTGGATTGGCAGCATTTCAATATGAGAGCTCGTGTGTATAATGTATTTTGCGCAGAAGTGAGTCAAACATCAAATTGCGTGCAGTTTCAGTAAATTGTAACAGATTGTTTTGTATTGCATTCAATTTGAATAAACATCAATGCTCATACAGCCATAAACACATTGGATCATGTATTTTATGGAAATCATAGAAATTATATCATTGATTGGGGGATGGGTTTTGGGGGGTACTTATGAATGCCAGATTGGGCTTAAAATGTGGGGGAGGGGCATGGGCAGACTGTGCCCCCCACCACCCCCCCCTTCGATCAACTACTGAGGTAAAGTATCAGTAGTATCAAAGACCAGAGGGTCAGAATCAAGTACTGCACTGAAAAGTACTACCAACTATTTTACCCAGTTCCTAAATCTAATATTGTACAAGATAGATAACATGCAAACCCCTACAAATAGGGTTTACATTACAATTCACATCGAGGGCTTGGTCTAATTAACTAAGTATATACAATGATCAATGATTTGTACATCTAACTTTTTGTTTGTCATGTTTCCACCTCATTCTGCCTCTCTGTTTTACTCTGTCTGGCTCTATCTCTCTCTCTCTCTTGGTCTCTTTCTCCCTAATTTATCATGTATATGTGTATAAAACATTATACAAGTCTTGTTTTTCATTCCCGTTCTCTTATCCCCCCCCCTCTCTCTCTCTCTCTCTCTCTCTCCCTCTCTTTCTCTCTCTCTCTCCATCGTACTTTCCCTCTCTCACTCTTAATATTCTCCCTCCTCTCTCACCCTATGTCTCTATTTTCCCTCTCTCCCACACCCTCTTCCTCTCCCTGCCCCCCCCTCTCTCTCCCTCGCTCTTTCCCATCTCTAGTCTCTTTCCAACGTTTTTGTTGTAATAATGCCTTTAAAGACCGTCTGTACTAGTATGGCTAGGAGGTATTAGACCACCCAGGGAGGTCACTGACAGGTGGCTATCTCATCAACTCAGCTCTCAATTAGCATAAGAAAAAGAGGATCATGAGGGACCAACGGACACTGATTAGGCATTGTTTTCTACATAGAGGGAGCAAGTAGCTACAAGTACTACAGTGGGGCTTTAAGTTAAATAACACCCTACCGGTCTCCTCCTTTTCACAGGTGATCTTCCCCCGGATGACGGGCACCCCACCAGACCCTGTGGCCCTTGCACCAGACATCCAGAGAATGGAAGAAACCTTAGACAACTTAGAAAAGCACTTCCTCCAGGAAAAACCTTTCCTGTGTGGGTATGATATCAGCATCGCAGACCTGTTTGGCGTCAACGAGGTACCTTGATGATTTATATGGACCAGTTTTGGAAACGCCCCCCCCCCCCTCTCAAAAAATGAAATGGAAGCTCTTATTACCAGTCATGTGAAAGAATATGTTTTGACTAATACGTCATACGTGACGATACAAATTTTGACGGGAAACCGCCTACTTATTGATAGATTTGGTAAATTATTATATATATCCGGACTGTATAGATATAGGGTAGTACCATATTCATCTTTCTGTGTACAGTGCTTATCACTTTACCAAGACTGGGCCAAATTTCTTATCATTTTGATGATTCCGGAACCTTGCAGTATACACCAATACTTATATGCTAGATGATCAACCTTGCCGATCGATTCCACAACGTTTCTTTCACAATGCAATCGCATGACCAGAACTGGTTTATACCTTTAACAACTAAATTATTCATACCTTTACCTTGTTTTGTAAGTTTTCAAGTACCGGTATGTGATAAATAACTTGTCCCAATTTACGTTTCTTGAGAATGTGACATGAAAGCTTACACTCAAAAGTATTCAGCCAGTCCAGCTTTCTTTCTTGAGTAACAAGAAGAAGAAAAAATACATCAAAATTGCAAGCGGTATGAATAATTTGGTTGTCAAATGTATAAAGATTATTAAGGTATATACATGTACAATGTATATTTAAGTTATTCTGCGTCTTAGTACGATAATCATTAGAAACAAGGAGGTCATTCTGTATTTCTTGTAGCTTTGCAGAATTATATGGCACATAAAAAAGTGACTAGAACACAAACTGCATAATTCGTCTGCTCAGAACCAGAAAAGCATCTTCTAACACAGTGCAAATACCTTTACGGCTCCCAACAGATGTTCCAGTGCATCTATAAGTAATCTGATTCATCTGAATCACATTAAAAGAAAAATTGGGCATAATGGAGGCAATTGGGGTATGCGAAACCTTTAGATTATAATATTATTGTTCTTCCTCTGTGTAATTAAATTGTGATTTTAAACAATTATGTGTTATATCTTGAATAAATTTGATGATTTTGTTTATTTTAATGTAAATAGGCTTAATCCCGACACATGGAAACATAGAGTTTGGGATGTGAAATTGCATTGCTGAAAAGGTTGAATATTGATGTTCAATTTCGTTAAAGGTAAAACAAAATTAGTTACCAGATTGCTGATTCTGTTATGTCAGTTTGACAGAATAGAACAAAACAAATGTCCGGTGAAAAGAATTGCATTTCAAATGCCCTCATATTCAAAATATGAAAAGAAATAGCTGAACTGTTTGGACCAAACCTTCTTGCCACTGATTGCCAAATGTGTTTGTAGTCCTATATGCAAATTCCTGTGTGTACTGCATGCGGCTTTAAGCAATTGCGTCAATAATTAGTTATCATTTAGATAATCACAAATCTTAATATACTCTATAATGAACCTTTTTCAATTGCATCCAGAATGTTTCTTTCATGGTGTAATTCCATGACCAGTACTCGACTTTAACTTAAAATATTTAATCTTTTTCACAAACCAACAGGTTATACAGGTGGAACCCTGCGGCTATGGCACGCTAGACAGAAGACCAAAGCTGAAGGCGTGGATAGGGAGAGTGAGAGAGCACGTACAACCAGAGATCTTTGACGATGTCTCGCAACTCATGTACAGACTCGCCAAAGCAAAACAAAAGCTGTAATTTGTTATAAAAAGTAGATGGTACAAATACGGAAGCGTTAAAGTGCCATTCTACTTGAGGACATGACGAGATATTTCATCTTGTCAAGTCGACTTAATATCCATATCATGTCGACATGTAAAGATATTTAACCTACCATGTCGACTTATCAACTTTTATTAGTCGACATGGCGAAATAAATTATCTTGCCAAGGAGACTTCACAAAAAGTTCATGTCGTCATGGCGACATAAGTTATCTTACCAAGTCGACTTCTAAAACATACATGTCGTCATGGCGACATATATTATCTTACCAAGTCGACTACCCAAAAAGTAATGTCGACATGGCGAAATAAATTATCTTGCCAAGTCGACTTCACAAAAAGTTCATGTGGATATTATGTGGATATTAAGTCGACTTGACAAGATGAAATATCTCGTCATGTCGTCAAGTAGAATGGCACTTTAACGCTTCCGTATACAAGTGCATGTGTTTCACAGGTTACTTTTCATATGAATGACAGAAGTGGACAATTTCATGAAAGGGAAAATTATTATTATTGTTATTGAGCTGCTTATTGATTTTTGTTGGAAGGACAAAAGTGGCCAGATTTATTCAATTAAAAATCGATTTCATTGCCATGTGGTGGGTGATATGCCTATTGATTTTATTTTAAATGATGGTAGACCTGTAGTCTTGTCATTAAACAGTTTTGGTTTCCATTTTGTGGGCTGGATTTTCTGACATACATGCAGTTTGCTTCTGCTGACAGTTTTAGCTTGTAATTTCCAAACTTTGTGGTCCTTTATATTTCGTATTTCATTTGACAAATAGATAACAATGGTCAGAATACTATGTTTCTTTTTTCTCATTGAAAGTTTTGAGGTTGAAATCTTATGATGGGGCAAATATTCCAGGGGGCTCACCTTCCAGGGGCAGTGACGTAATGACAAAAAACGTTTGGAAGTGTGGGGGGGGCAGAATCTGCATCACCACCACTCTTACACGCAGGCGCGGATCCAGGGGGGCCGAACAAAGAGAGAGAGAGAGAGAAGGAAAAGAAGGGAAAGGGAAAGAGGAGAGAAAGGGGAAAGAAGAGGAAGAAGAAAAGAAAAAAAGAGGGAAGAAGGAGATCGGGGGAGGAAAAAAGACTTGGCCGCCCAGGCTGTTGCCTCCCCCCCCCCCCCCCCCCAATCAAAACATAAAAGAGAAGGAAGGAAAGGGAAAGAAAAAGGAAAAGAGGAGATAAAGGGAAGGAAAAAAGAGGAAGAAGAGAAGAAAAGAAGGGGGATATCAGTTGCAATTTTTCCGCCAACAAGTTGTGGGTCGGGGGAGGGGGAAAAAAGGCCCTTGCCCCCCCCCCCCTCCCCCCTCGTCCCCGCTTTAAAAAAAAGAGAGAAGGGAGGAAAAAGAAAAGAGGAGAACTAAAAGGGAACAAAAAATGGGACTAAATGCCTAAAACCCTGAGGGCTCTGCCCCCTGGATTCCACCTTAGGCCCTAAGGCGGGCCTTAGATGCTCATCTGACGGTAATTTAATGCCTAAAACCCGTGATTTCTGGGGGCTCTGCCCCTGGACCCCACGCCAAATAGTGTCCTGCCAGTGTCACAAAATAATAAGGTATCTAAAAATGCTCTTCTGACCGTATAATTAAACGCCTAAACCCCCTGAGCTTCCGGAGGCTCTGCCCCCTGGACCCAACCAAGGGCCCTAAGGCGGTCCCCTTGATACTCATTGGCCCGTAATTGAGTGCCAAAAACCCCTGAGCTTCCGGGGGCGGACAAGGTATCAACATTATGTTCATCTGACCGCAGGCGTGTAGCCAGGGGGGCGGTGGGGGTGGTCCCCCAAAAAACGCCGGCCAAAACAAAAAAGGAGAGAAAATGAAGAGGACTTAGGAAAAAAAGGGAGTAGACAAGGAACATTTTTGAAATTCAGACAAGGATTAAGAGTCGAGAACGGTACAACGAATCGTCTTCTTTCTCTCATGATTAAATGAAACGTAAAAGCTTCCACGCTGAGCGCGAGAGGGGGGAAAACTGAATTCAGACGAGGATTATTTTCGAGAACGGTACAATGAATCGTCTTCTTTCTCTAATAATTTAATGAAACGTCAAAGCTTCCGCGCTTCGCGCGGAAGATGTGGGGGGGGGGGAGGAGAGGAGCTGAATTCAGACGAGGATTAAAAATCGAGAACGGTAATATGAATCGTCTTCTTTCTGTAATAAATTAATGAAACGTCAAAGCATCCGCGTTTTGCGCGGGAGGGGGGAGGGGTAGGGTGAACTGAATTCAGAAGAGGATTAACAAACCGAGAACGGTACAACGAATCGTCTTCTTTCTCTAATAGTTTAATAAAACGTCAAAGCTTCCGCGCTTCGCGCGGAAGGGGGAGGGGAGGAACTGAATTCAGACGAGGATTAAAAGTCGGGAACGGTACAACGAATCATCTTCTTTCTCTAATGATTTAATGAAACGTAAAAGCTTCCGCGCTTAGCGCGGGAGGGGGAAAAAGTGAATTCAGACGAGGATTAAGAGTCGAGAACGGTACAGCAAATCGTCTTCTTTCTCTAATGCATTATTGAAACGTCAAAGCTTCCGCGCTTCACCATTGCGTACCAATATTTGGCTCGCATAATTTTAAATTTGGGCCTCCCCCCTAAGAAATTCTGAATCCGCGCCTGCTTATACGTTACATGCAGGCCCCGCGGAACGTTTTTCAAAGTGGATCAGGTAGAGCGTAAACCCCGAAAGCTCAGGGTTTTAAGGCATTAAATAACGGTCAGATAAGCATATTTAGATACCTTATTTGTGACACTGGCAGGTTACTAATTGGTGGAGTGTCCAAAGGGCAGAGCCTAAAGAAGCTAAGGGGTTTTAGGTATTATATAATGGTCGGATGAGCATCCAGGGGGCAGAACCCCCAGAAGCTCTGGGGTTTTAGAAATTTAATTACGGTCAGATTAGCATCCACCGAACCGCCTTAGGGCCCTTGGTGGGGTCCTGGGGGCAGAGCCCCCGGAAACCTCTGGGATTTAAGGTATTTAATTACGGTCAGATGAGCATCCACGGACTGCCTTAGGGGCTTTGGTGGGGTCCAGGAGGCAGAGCCCCAGAAGCTCTGGGGTTTTAGGTATTTAATTACGGTCAAATGAGCATCCAGGGGACCGCCCTAGGGCCTTTGGTGGGGTCCAGGGGGCAGAGGCCCCGGAAGCTCTGGGGTTTTAGGTATTTAATTACGGTCAGATGAGCATCCACGGGACCGCCATAGGGCCCTTAGTGGGGTCTTGGGGGCAGAGCCCCCGGAACCTCTGGGTTTAGGGTATTTAATTACGGTCAGATGAGCATCCACGGGACTGCCTTAGGGGCTTTGGTGGGGTCCAGGAGGCAGAGCCCCAGAAGCTCTGGGGTTTTAGGTATTTAATTACGGTCAAATGAGCATCCAGGGGACCGCCCTAGGGCCTTTGGTGGGGTCCAGGGGGCAGAGGCCCCGGAAGCTCTGGGGTTTTAGGTATTTAATTACGGTCAGATGAGCATCCACGGGACCGCCATAGGGCCCTTGGTGGGGTCCAGGGGGCAGAGCCCCCGGAAGCTCTGGGGTTTTAGGTATTTAATTACGGTCAAATGAGCATCGAGGGGCCCGCCTTAGGGCCTTTGGTGGGATCCAAGGGGCAGAGCCCCCGGAAGCTCTGGGGTTTTAGGTATTTAATTACGGTCAAATGAGCATCCAGGGGACCGCTCTAGGGCCTTTGGTGGGGTCCAGGGGGCAGAGGCCCTGGAAGCTCTGGGGTTTTAGGTATTTAATTACGGTCAGATGAGCATCCACGGGATCGCCATAGGGCCCTTGGTGGGGTCCAGGGGGCAGAGCCCCCGGAAGCTCTGGGGTTTAAGGTGTTTAATTACGATTCCGAACATTTTGTTTAATCGTTCAACCAATGGAAAATAATTTATGTTGCATGATAGATCAATCAATTTAAAGAAATTGTGCGTTCGGCATATATATAGGGCACTGGTTTTATGCTCATTGCAGTTACAAGATGTACCGTAACATAATAGTATTACTAACTATATACTTACAAACCCTCACATTCCTCACCTCTGCAGCTATGAAAAAGACATCTACATAAAGTGTCGATAAATAGTCTCTGGCCGGTGTGACCGCGCCGTTTGTCCTACCAGTTTCGTTTGTCCGTCGGACATAATATGCGGGTTTTCTGCTCGCACGGATCGTCCGAGGGACGATCCGTGCGGATTGCTATCCGCGCAGTCTGTCCCCCCATTGTTTTACGTGTATATTTGATAAAAGGAAGAAACTCGGCAAATCAATGTATTTAGACTCATTGTAAATCATGTGGTTGGCATTTTTTCTAGAAATTACATAATGATAACTCTCTACAATTTTTTAAAGCAAATGGGCCAGTCCTTTTGAAAGTAGAAGTGAATATTTTCTTTAAAACCATTATTCTATGAAGGCATACTCGTGATATCGGCCCCACAATTACTGTTGTAATCAATTGTACGTGGCTTCGTACTTACGGTCAGATGAGCATATTTTAATACCATATTCATGACACTGGCAGGTCACTAATTGGCGTATGCTCCAAGGGGCGGAGCCCCCGAAAGCGCAGGGGTTTTAGGCATTACAATTAAGGTCAGATTAGCATCCAGGGGCCAGCCTTAGGGCCCAAGATGGGGTCCAGGGGGCAGAGCCCCCGGAATTAGCTCAGGGGTATGGGCATTTAATTACGGTTACATGAGCATACTTTCTTTTCTATTTCTTTCTATTTAACTCTCTTTAATATACTTTTTCAAAAGTGTGGGGGTGGGAGGGGGGGGGGCTTGAGCCCCCAAGCCCGCCGTTCCGCGGGACCTGACATGTCGGCCTCTAAATAGTAAATAAGCACATTTCTTGCCTGACTGTAAATTGTGATATATGTCATTCTCCAACAAACGCATTCAAATTAGAAGAAAAAAAAACACTTTTAAAGTTTATATTGGTGGGGGGGGGGGTAGGAACTGGCTGAATACTTACACCTATGGTGTCGAGGGGCTCTTTCTTCATTTTTTTTTGTTCGGTAATAAATAAGGTTAGTTTGTGTGGGTGTCACTCAAGCGCGGATATACGGGGGGCGATGGACCTGCCCCCCCCTCCTCTTTGAAAAAATAAGAAAGGAAAGGAAAGAAAAAAGAAAGGAAAGGAAAAAGTAAAGAAAGAAGGGCTAAAAACACGAGTTAGAAGAAGTCCCATCAGGGCACTCACTTATCCGTATCAGGAGGAAAAATACACGGGGGCTCGGGGTGAATTAGCCCCCGAAATGCCAAAAAGAGCCCCCGAAAGTCATAAAAGTAACCCCCGAAATGTTTAAAGTATTTTTTCTCTGATCCGTATATAGAACAAGGCCCTGGGGCAGCTAGCCATACTCCGATATTTGGGTCGTTTTCCGATCAGAACTAGCCCTAACTATCATTCAAGGATTTTTTGTTTCAGAACCTAAGACAAAGTTACCCAATCCCTTTAAGTTTCAAAAAGTAGACTTCATTGAACTGTAATTAGGCCCAGGAACCGGGAGGAGGGGGATTGGGGGCACAGCCCCCCCCCCAAAAAAAATATTGGGGGGGGGGCTCAGAGATCATTGAGCCCCCCCCCCCCAATATTTTTGGCGGGGCTTATAGATATCATTAATCGAGCCCCTCAATCTTTTGGTGGGGCTTAGATATCATTGAGTCCTTAGGGGCTAATACCATTGAGCCCCCAATATTTTAAGTGGGGCTCAGATATCATTGAGCCGCCCTCCTCCCCAATGATTATATTCTAGGCATGAAACTCATGTATACCTATAATCTACAGACGTACCATTCAAATATAAACATTTTATAAATATTCATTAAGGGAGGAGGGAGGGGGGGCGGGGGTCAGACATCGGATATCGCATATCATTGACCCAAAAAATATATTTTGTGGATCTCGGATATCATTTAAACCCCCAAATATTTTGGAGGGACTTTGATATCATTGAGCCCCCCCCCCCATTATGTTGGTGGGGCTCAGATATCATAAGCCCCCCCCCCCCCCTCCCCCTCAAGTGTTTTTGGTGGGGCTCGGATAACATCACGGAGCCCCCCGATATTTGTGTGAGGCTCGGATAACATTACGGAGCCCCCCGATATTTTTGAGGGCCCCGGATATCATTGAGCCACCCCCCCCCCCAAATATTTCGGCCGGGCTCGGTTGTCATGAGCCCCCTCCCCAATATTTTGTTCGTGCTGATGAGTTGAGGGAAGTGTATGCCGGAGATATTGACTTTGTAGCATTAACTCGGCAGCTAACAAGCCTCCAAGACGCGCGTGACGATGAGAGTAAACCTATCAAAAATATACATTAAAACAACCCGTGAGATTTTCAACAACACTCTGATCTATAAGAAATCATTCTCAGAGGTGCACATCCTTCTTCTCATTTACCTTACAATCCCGTTTACAACGGCAACTTGCGAGAGAACATTCTCTGTCTTGAAACGGATCAAAACTTCTCTGATAAGTACAATGACCCAAAGAAAGCTCAACCAAAGCTTAATATTACACATATATAAATCTCGTAAAGATAAACTGAACTTGAAAACTATTGCCCAAACTTTGTTTCCAGGAACATAAAAAGACAAAACTTCTTTGGCACATTTGTCTGAGGATGCATGAAAAGAAGAAAAGTCTGAAATTTTTCGCCGCGATGACATAGACGAGGAACAAAAAATTTATTTTCAGGTGCAAATTAAAGACAAAGAAGGATCTCAGAATTATATTTTTGGGTGGTGCCACATTTCAGTTTTTAAATATGTCCGATTATAGGCATGTGTGACAATAAAAGTTTTGTTTTTCACGTTCCTGGGGTATTATTTTTTCCAAAGGTGTTAATTGTGTGTTTTGTCATACTTAATACATGTAAAATAAACTGAATATCTTATAATTCAACGATTTCTTCAAGTAGGCCTACTTTTATTAATTTCTTCAACTGCTTAAAAGTAAGGCTGCAAATGCTTTGTTAATTTAGAGCTGTAGTGTTAACAGGCTAATTAGTAATTCACATTTATAGATTGGTGCACATCATTATGCTTGATCATCCTCTCCTATCTGTTTGTTTTCATTCCTCTGTTAGTCATCCTTTATTTGCTACCTATGATATTTGAATATACATTATTTCCTTTTATTATATAAATGATCATGTAAATGCCTATATATGGAAAATAAACCCTGGAGGTTTAAAGTTGTAAAGCCCATGGCAGTTCAACACCCGCAATCATGAAATAAGGGTGTCTTCATCAAAGTGTCTCTGTAAGTTTAGAACCACGCCCTGTGCCTACCCGCTCAGGCCACTCTACATTCAGGGGCGTCGCTAAAGGGGGGGGGGGTGTGGGGTTGAAGTCGGTGGTATTTTTTTTATGTCGGTCGGCCAGCAATTTTTTTCCCCTTAGAACTGTGACTTTTTATCGGACAAAGAAACTTTTTGGAAGTTGAGACAATGATTTAGAGTCGAATCAATGAATCGTCTTCTTTTTCTAATAATTTAATGAAACGTCGAAGCTCCCGCGCTTCGCGCGAGAGGAGGAGAAACTGAATTCAGACAATAAGGATTAAGAGTCGAGAACGGTACAACAAATCGTCTTCTTTTCATAATTATTTAGTGGAACGTCTAAGCTACTGCGCTTCGCGCGGGATGCCTTTCACCCATCCCCTCCCCCACCTAGGGAGCGCTTTGCGCGCTCTTTAAGTGATTCGCTTGCTCAATACCGCCCCTCCCTAAAATAAGATCCTAGCTACGCGCCTGCATTAAAATATATAGCTATGATGCTTACTAAGTTGACAAAATAATTTGTATATTTATGTCGTCGACGAAAATGACCATTTGCGCATAACAATTTAGCCTTTGGCCCCGGGTTTATAGGGTTAAATTTGTAGATATTGGAACATTTACTTTTGTCGGTAATTAATTGGTGGCTTGTTTTGTCGGGAATCGTTGGCCTCTATACCCCCCCCCCCCCACTGAAAAAGGACTAGCGACGCCACTGACGACACATCAGGCCTATACTTGCGTTTTGTGAGAGGCTCAAGTATCCGGGCCAGCTATTTATAGTAATTGAGTAAGTTTTGAAGAAAAACAAAAACGAGTACTCGCTCTCCAATCGTATTGGTTATTGGGGAATTTCGAATGTCATCAAATATGTTTTTTTCCTTTTAACATAATAATTGTTTTGCGACTCAATTCAGGCCTGACTAAATATAAACTTTTTCGTAAGGCAACAGACAAGTAATTTAGTCATATACCTTATTAACATTTGAAGATTTCCTATACTAGTGCCTGGCCGTGCGTGTTCCATCTTTGAACACTAAGTTGCACCTGAAATTGCAACATGTGCATTATAAGCTCCAAACGCTTTCTTTCATACAAATACACCAACAAAAAATCCCCAAAGCTTCAATGCATATACTATTTCACAAGATGTAATTAAACAATATGAATTATATACCTCACTTAAGTAATCCAGCAATCTGATTGGTCGAAATCGCATTCATAAACTTTAACTGTTCCCGAAAATTCCCGGTAACCATGGTTAAAAAACAATAACCATGGTTATTGGGAAAATAGGTCAGTCTCCATGGTTACCCCATAGGTTTACATGTTAAAAAATGGTCTGAGCGATCGAGGATACCGTACGTGTGCGAAGAATTGGTCGGTAATTTCAATACAATTGAATCTCGATCGATTTTACCGACAAATTTATCTTGCATTGTTGACATGAAGACGAAAATAAACTTCCAAAAACAAAAAAAAACATCTGCCGATAGATCTTGATCTAAATTCGTGCCAATATGCATTGCAAAAGTAAAAGAAGGGCCTGTTTAATGGAGCAGACGCGAAGCATCCGCCACGCGAAGCCGTTTTCAATCCATTTTAATGTATATATAAGAAAAAACTCCTATGTATGGTAACAGAGCGCGATAGCCGAGCGGTTTAAGGCGCTGACTTTAGTAACATCACATTTTGTACGCAAGAGATCGAATCCCATCTTCGACAAAAGGTTTTTTGTTGTTTTTTTTCCCTTTTTTTTTCGGCATATAAAAGTATTAATGACTGCTTTAATATTCGAGAAATAGTTGTTTTTATACGCTCTCGGGAAGGTTACAATTGGGCTATTGCCCTCGGCACGCCTCGGGTAATAGCACAATTCTAACCTTCCCTTGAGCGTATAAAAACAACTATTTCTCTCAAAGCAGTCATTAATACTATATTATATTAATGATACACTTACATGTACATGCAAATGCATGATCATTCTTGCGCTTCTTGCTCCCAGCAAATAGTTTCCTCCTACATTTAATTTTGTTGCTGTTATGAGTTTGTAGCGGCTCTTACATTCGCCCTACTTACATTCGCCCTACTTTTACCGTACGTTCATGTCTCCAGTATTTTTCCATCACGGTACTTATTTATATTCATTATTCGGACCACGTGTGTTTTTCCTTCCAATCGCGCATCGTGGTTCCGCACTGTTCACCCCGCGTATTTTCAACTCCACGAGGTTTTTTCTCCACTCCCGCTTTCACCTTGGTCGAGTCAAGACGTCTCCGCAATTTCCTCTCCAGGCTTATTCTTCTGTGCTTTTCGTCGCTTCTACGGCACGTCAACTCTTTCTCTGCCGTGTTCATCGGGCTGCAGTCTCACAGTGGAACGTTATAGTCAGCACCGACATGGCGCCTGACTCTCCGCTGGGAGCTGCCAGTGTCTTCGTTCCGGTAGCTCTTTCCACTCACGAGCTCATCATTTCACCGCAGCTCATCTAAACATTTCTTCATCAAAGTCCGGCGCATCAAACGAGCAACATTTACTACTCAGCACCAGTGCCGGCTTTGCATGTCTACATTTCTACTTGCCTCCGACATCAAGCGATTCACTGCTTCGTCGTCGAGCGCCACATCTCTTCTCTTCTCTTCTCTTCTCGCCTGAGAGCTTCAACCACATCTTCATCACGGACGTCAGCGTCGAGATTCTTCACGGCTCTTCAGCCACGACAACGAAGTTACATCTCCGCCTCTTCAAGCCTCCGCACATCATCGCGTGAGCCCCTTCCTTCGTTCTTCTCAACTCTCTTCATCTTCATTGGACTTTCGACGCCATTTCTATTCTGTCGTAAGCTCTAAGCTTTCATTCATTATATACATCGCATTTATTCATGTCCATTCTTAATCATTACTATTTCTATGTAACTACGTGCAATATCTTCAATTCTCATTCCGAGTCATCGTTTGTGCTTGGCTACACTTTGCAAGTGTACGGCCAGCCTCATCAGTACCTAATAAACTTAACGAAAAGGGAATACTTTCTTTCATGTATTTTATTGTCAGTGCAACCTTGCTTCCTCGTAGCTAAAATAAAAATAAGAGTTATGTTGTGTGACGAGTGAACACGCTTTCAAATATCCATTCACATTACCTCACACACTCATATCTCTAAAGTGGTGACCCCTCGTTTACTTTGAAGCTTGGTTGTACGATTTTATTATTCCCAGACTTTTTGGACTTGGCAATGTTTTATGAAATGTATTCATTCTGGATTTTGTATCGAATGTTTTTTATGCTCTTGCATTTATACACGTTTATTCGATGCATACCATGTCATTCATTACTGTCTATTTATGGCAACTAAACAGCCGTGCATGCTTGTTGTATTACATTCTTTCAACATGCCATGCTTGTACATTTCTTAGGCTGCTGTAAATTGCTGCATACACTATACAATACATGCACTTTTACATTTTTTGTCAGCCATTGATTCTTGTGACATTTTGTACTTTGCTCATTTATATATTATCGCCTTTTATCTGTGTATTGCATACACAGCTTCAATTCTGGCAGGGGAGTAATGTAGCGGCTCTTACATTCGCCCTACTTACATTCGCCCTACTTTTACCGTACGTTCATGTCTCCAGTATTTTTCCATCACGGTACTTATTTATATTCATTATTCGGACCACGTGTGTTTTTCCTTCCAATCGCGCATCGTGGTTCCGCACTGTTCACCCCGCGTATTTTCAACTCCACGAGGTTTTTCTCCACTCCCGCTTTCACCTTGGTCGAGTCAAGACGTCTCCGCAATTTCCTCTCCAGGCTTATTCTTCTGTGCTTTTCGTCGCTTCTACGGCACGTCAACTCTTTCTCTGCCGTGTTCATCGGGCTGCAGTCTCACAGTGGAACGTTATAGTCAGCACCGACATGGCGCCTGACTCTCCGCTGGGAGCTGCCAGTGTCTTCGTTCCGGTAGCTCTTTCCACTCACGAGCTCATCATTTCACCGCAGCTCATCTAAACATTTCTTCATCAAAGTCCGGCGCATCAAACGAGCAACATTTACTACTCAGCACCAGTGCCGGCTTTGCATGTCTACATTTCTACTTGCCTCCGACATCAAGCGATTCACTGCTTCGTCGTCGAGCGCCACATCTCTTCTCTTCTCTTCTCTTCTCGCCTGAGAGCTTCAACCACATCTTCATCACGGACGTCAGCGTCGAGATTCTTCACGGCTCTTCAGCCACGACAACGAAGTTACATCTCCGCCTCTTCAAGCCTCCGCACATCATCGCGTGAGCCCCTTCCTTCGTTCTTCTCAACTCTCTTCATCTTCATTGGACTTTCGACGCCATTTCTATTCTGTCGTAAGCTCTAAGCTTTCATTCATTATATACATCGCATTTATTCATGTCCATTCTTAATCATTACTATTTCTATGTAACTACGTGCAATATCTTCAATTCTCATTCCGAGTCATCGTTTGTGCTTGGCTACACTTTGCAAGTGTACGGCCAGCCTCATCAGTACCTAATAAACTTAACGAAAAGGGAATACTTTCTTTCATGTATTTTATTGTCAGTGCAACCTTGCTTCCTCGTAGCTAAAATAAAAATAAGAGTTATGTTGTGTGACGAGTGAACACGCTTTCAAATATCCATTCACATTACCTCACACACTCATATCTCTAAAAGTTTTACAAAAATCATCTCATGATCATATCATCATAACCAAAAGCTATTTCTCATTCATATTTATCATGATCAAGGTCAATATCCGTCCGGTCAATTTCAGGTCAAAGAACGCTCGCATGCGCGTACCCGCGCGTCAATGCGCGCGCAAAATTTTTAAATGCTCAAAATCGTCTTAAAATCATTTTGCATACGTTTTTGGCCATTATAAAATGATATTTATAAAAAAAAAAAAAATTATAAACAAAATCGCGCACACGCGCATGCGCGCGCGTTTTCGCGCGTAAAACAATTACACAACATAGAATCGCCATTTTTTTTCTTCATTATATTTCACATATTTTTACTAACAAATTGATACCATGTTTGTCTCTTTATGACTATTAACAACGGAATGATCGACCGTTTAACATAAATTTCTGTGAGCGCGAGCTCTTGTAATACATAGCATATATGGGCAAAAATATGCTTATACAAAATCCATTGTAGCTCTTTGGGATGCAACTGGAACCCCAATTTTTTTTCATATTTTGATAGAGTATGAGTCGGAGATATGATTTCATGTCTCATTTGGCCATTAAGTGTATCGTGACATCATCATAATGGGTTCCATGACACATGCTCAATTGCTCCGCGACAGTTGCTCCGCCGACAGTTGCTCCGCTGACATGTGCTCCGCCGACATGTGCTCCGCCGACAATTGCTCCGCCGACATTTGCTCCGCAGACAATTGCTCCGCCGACATTTGCTCCGCCGACAATTGCTCCGCCTACAATTGCTCCGCAAAACGCGACAATTGCTCCGGTGACAAATGCTCCTCGAACGACTGTTGCTCCGCCGACAGTTGCTCCGCCGACAATTGCTCCGGTGACATTTGCTCCGCCGACAATTGCTCCGCCGACATTTGCTCCGCCTGAAGCGACACTTGCTCCGGTGACATTTGCTCCGCCGACAATTGCTCCGCCGACATTTGCTCCGCTAAAAAAGTACCCCGTAAAATACAAAGGCTACTACGACAATAATTGTTGCTCCTCCCCAAATGTACCCCGCAAAAGACAATGCTCCGCCGACAATTAAATTGCTCTCTGATCCAAAAGTGCGGCCTCGTGGAAGACATGAATGCTCCTCTGGCAATTATTGCAATAAATGCTCAGCCGTTTTTTGCTATTCCCCATAATGTTTGATTTAAAAAAAACTTCAAGTTTTAGCTCCTTATACATGTTCTCCAGCGAAAGATAATTATTCCGCTCAAAATATGTTTCATTTATTACTCATTTGCCGATCCAAAGCTCAAGGATATCTCTCTCTCTCTCTCTTGCTCTTCCTTTTCCTTTTTACACCCTTTTCTTGTCTTTTTAGCTCTTTGTTTTCCTCTCATGCTTTTAGTCTTCTTTCATTTTCATCACTTTTTCTTTTCTTCCCCTCTCGAGTTCTAGTTCTCTCGTGAAATTGTAACGTAATGTAGTACATGTAGTACATTCTTGTTTAGAATAGTATTTTCAATAATATCCAGTCCGTCTTCTATAGGTTTCTTTAAGATAAATTGCCGTGCGCACGAGCACATGTAATACATAGCATATATAGGCAAAATCATGATTACACAAAATCCATCACAGCTGGGATGCACCCTAGACCCCCGATTGTTCTTTTATTTTCAGGGCGGATCTAGCTTTTTGCTAAGGGGGGGGGTTGACCAAAATAATGACGATGCGGAGCATCGTCCACGAGCCGCGAAGCGGCGAACCGATTTTTTTTGGGGGGTTTATTTGAACCCCGTAAGTGATGTTTTCCTGGCATCTATTAACACAATGGAGACCATAAAAAGCAGTGCATGATAACGTCTTTTTAAATCAAGTAACAGTTAAATACACAGTTATATCCAGAGTTATCATGTGTTTGGTTAAGTTACCAGATGAGTTGAATATCTTCTCACAATATTTGCACTTGAAAGGGTTTCTCTCCAGCGTGCGTTCTTTTTTCTTTCTTTTTTTTTTCTTTTTTTTCCCCCTTTTTTTTTTTTTTGGGGGGGGGGGGGCCGCCCAAGGGGGGGGGTTTAAACCCCCTAAACCCCCCCGTAGATCCGCGCCTGGCAAGGGACTCTGTGACATTTGTTCGCCCAACCCCCCCCCCCCCTCCCCCAAAAAAGAAATAATAATAATAATAATAATAATAATAATAATAATAATAATAATAATAATAAATAAAATAAATACATAGAAATAGAATAAATAAAATTACAAGTTTAAAAAAAAAGATAAGATTTAAAAAAATGGTCCCCGGATTTTTTTTGGGGGGTTGCAACCCCCCCAACCCCCCCAACCCCCCCCCCCCCCCCCCCCCCCCCTCTAGATCCGCTTCTGATTTTGATTATATGAGTCGGAGATATGATTTCATTTCTCATTTGGCCATTAAGTACATTTTAACGTCATCATAATGGCCTTGGAAGACAAAATACGAATTTGCATATTATGACGTCAACATATTTACAGAAATGATTGTATCTCTGCAAATATTGATCAATTTTCTTCTTAATTTTGATACGTTGTAGCTGAGACAATTCTTCACAAGATTATTACCAATATTTATTCATTTTGATGACGCCATTAGATTGTTTGCTTAATATGCGTCTTATGCCTATGGGAGGTGAATGATACACATTCCAGTCTAGACTTGTTCATTGTGTTGCGTATGTAGTGCGTCGAAATATCAGTTCAATGATTGGTAGGCTCTGCAATCAGGCCAAAATTTGAGCTTGTTTAGTAAATTAATCATATAACAATTGTCTATCAAATAGCTGAAGGGGGCGCTAAACCACTTTTAATCATTGTCATTGTCATTTAAAACAACTAAATCATCATCATCAATATCTTTATTATCGTATTTATGAATATTATCATTAGATCATGATCGGCACACTTTCATTATACAAAAATAGCATACGTATCACCTAATTCGTCAAAGTGACGAATTAAAGTCTAATTATAATTGTTAACCATATAATTATTATCATCTGTATCATCAGCATATTCTACAATGGCAGTAGTATAGTATAGTCATGTAGAAGTAGGCCTAGTAGTAGAGGTATCATTCTGATCCTTATTATCCTGATTATCTTTTGCAATACGTCTATATAGACGATAAACTCACGACAATTTACAATTGTCATGAATCATTGTCTTTAAGCTTACCATTAAATGCATCTGGTTCGAATTTTGCTTAGGTATTTGGTACGTGATGATTTAAATGGTAGAAATGAACTTGTGTCCTATTAATTTTAGTCTTATTCATTTGCATTATGTTTTATTCATTCGAGTTCTAATGTTTCTGACTGTTTTCAAGACAATATTTTTTTTGTCGATCATATTAGTTCTATGTAGCTTGATATCTCACGGTAATTTTGAGAGAAAAGCAATGCAAGCAATGATTTCTGAATTGTAGCGACAATCGCGTTCGATTTTGCTGTTCTTCAATAATATTTGACAAGCAGTATTAATTAATTCGTCGCTGTTTTCACGAAGTGACGGTAGTGAAGAAAAAAATGCATTCAATTTGCGTTACGATTTTCCTCACTACCGTCACTTCGTGAAAACAAGGATTTTTCAAGGACTCATGATAAATTCGTTTAACAGTTTATTACCCTCGGTTGATTCTTTTGTTCGGATTATTTGGCGGGGAAAATAGAAGTGAATGTATTATTATTCTTATTTTTTCATTGTCTCTACGATGCTCTTTGAATCAAAAACAGCTTTTAGTGTTAGGCTTCCTGAAAGAAATTTCAATTGTTGTTAAAAAAAATTTTTTGTTGCACTCTGTAGATTATGATGATGTGTTTGATCTTTTTTTCAATACAAGATCAAACACATGATGAAAATCTACTGGCTGCATGCCAATAAGTTCTTGACAACAATAACAAAATGTGAGCTAGTGCTATTCGGTGTGGCGTACACATGGCAATCACATGGTAGATAAAATTATGATCATCAGTACTGGGTCAAATAAATTAAAGAGAACTGAATTTGAACCCGGGCCATAGGCTACCCCCTCTCGTTCTCTCTCCCTCTCTCTCCCTCTATCTCCCTCTTCATCGCCTTACTTTTCCCTCTCTTACCTCCCTGTGCATTTGTATGCCTCGATAATACAAAAAATAAACAATAAGATTCTTCCTCTTCCCCTCCTTCTTCCTAGTACATGTAGTAGGAGTAGTACTAGAAGCAGTATCACAATAATAATGACAACAATTATTATTATGGTTGGTGGTGTTACTAATGTTATTTTGTAATTATTATGTTTTTTATTGTGATTATTATCCTTATCATGATTATTATCGTTAAGATAAGTTATTATTGTAATTATTATAATCATTATTATTGTTATCATTATGATGAATATGAACATGATGATTTTGATGACGATTAGAATAAGTATATAGTATTATTATAATTGTTATCATATCATTATTATCATCTGTATTATCAGCATATTCTACAATGGCAGTAGTATAGTATAGTCATGTAGAAGGAGGCCTAGTAGTAGAGGTATCATTTTGATCCTTATTATCCTGACCAGAGCTGTGATATTGAATGTAATGAAATGAACGATTTTTTTTAT